TACTGGCCCTCCGGGCAGCCGGACGCACAGGTGCCGACACCGGGGGTCACTTCGACAAGCTCCAGCTCGGCGGCACAGCCCGTGCACTGGTCCGGCCGGCCGTCGGCGCAGGTGACGCAAGACACGTCACACGGCTGGCACGACTCGCCGTTGCTGAACGACCCGGCCGGGCAGGCACTGACACATGCGCCGGCCGCTGTGAGCAGGAGGCCCGCCTCGCAGGACAGACATGCGGTGCTCGTGCAGGAGGCGCACCCAGGCTCACAGGCGACGCATGTGCTGGTGCCGCCGGGGCCCGGGGCCGCGCTCCAGCGGAAGCCTGGCGCGCACACCTGGCACCGGTCCGGCCCGCCGGCGCACAGCTCACACGACCCATCGCACGCGGCGCACCGGCCGGCCCCGACATACTCGCCCGGGGCGCAGGTGCTGCCGCAGAGGGACGCCTGCTGCGGATCGGCCGACAGGAACACCAGGCCGGGCTTGCACGCCCCGCAGGAGGCCTTCCCCTCGCACGCGGCACACGACCCGTCGCACGGCTGGCACAGGCTGTCCGGGCCGAGGTAGTGCTGGCCGGGGCAGGTGGCGCACGCGCCCGCCGACTGGCAGGTGGCGCAGCTGGCCGGGCAGGGATGGCACGCGCGCGTGGGGGCATCGGGCCAGGTGCCGGCCGGGCAGGCGGCCACGCACGTCCCGTCCAGGAGCCACGCCCCGGGCGGGCAGCTGGTGCAGGCGCCGGCATCGTCGGGGAGCGTGCACTCGTCGCAGCTGGTGTGGCAGGCGAAGCACGACGCCGGGGACATCCCGCCCGCGGCCATGGCCGTGCCCGGATAGCAGAACACGCACACGGCCGGCCGGCCGCGCGACGTGTCACACATCTGGCAGTTGGAATTACAGCCGCACAGGCCCTCGTCGGTGGCGATCCGGCCATCCGGGCAGGCAGGCAGGCAGATGTCCGGGGCCTCGGGCAGCGCGGCCCTGCAAAGGCACAGGGGACGGCCGTCGGGCGAGGGGAACAGGCCGCCCGGGCAGGCGGCCAGGCAGGCATCCGGCGCCGAGGGCAGGGCCAACAGGCAGGAGGTGCAGTCCTCGGGCCCGGGGCCGGTGCATGTGCGGCACGCGCCGTCGCACGGCTCGCAGTCCAGGCCGTAGGTCCCCTCCATGGAGCAGGTCGCCGTGAAGACCAGGCGCATGAGGCCGGCCTCCGGGGAGAAGGCCAGCAGCGTCAGCACATGCCCCTCCGGGTCGGCGGCGGTGGCGGCCGCGGCGGCCCCCATGCCAGGCCCGGGACGCAGGAAGACCGGGCCCTGGAGGGTAATGCCCTCGGGGACGGAGGGGGGCGCCGGCAGCCGGGCGATGGCCGATGTTTGGAAGTAACAGGCCCCGGGCCCGGCCGTCGGGTGGTCCGGGCAGCGGAGCAACGCCAACCCCACGACACCCCGGGCCAGGAGGAGCAGGGCCCCCGGGCGCCCGGTCAGCCCGGCCGGCTCCAATGGCAACACGCGCAGGGCATCGAGCAGGTCCAGCTCCGAGGCCAGGGCAAGCGTTTGGGCCGGGTGCGGCAGGTTGATGGTCCGCCCGGAGACCAGGCCATCCCCATACAGGGCGGCCACTTGCCATTTGCCGGACTGGACGCGCGTGAGGATGGGCTCGTAGTCCCGACGCCCGGGCCCGGCCGTCCGAAGCATGGCCACATCACTCCAGGCCCCGGGGGCCAGGAGCAACTTCCCGGCCAGGGCCTCCAGCCGGCTGTCCCGGGACAGGAGATCCACCATGGACAAGGCCGGCCGGCCTTGCCCATCCAGCGACAGGTACCAGTCGGCTGGCAGGCCGGGCGAGGGGGCCCACCGGGCCGGATGGTCCGGCAGCCGGACGGCACCGGCCACCGGGCTCAAAGAGTCCACCGTCAAGCCGCCCGACTCGCTAAAGGACACCACATGGGCCTGCTGATCGGGCCCGAGAGCCAGGGCCCGGCGGCTGTCCAGGCGCCGGACCTCACGACAGGCATCCATCGTGAATGCCGACGTGGAGAGGGGGTCCCCGGAGCATACCATGTCCGGGAAGCGAGGGTCCTCCACGCACGAGAGGAAGCCCACACGGCCGATGCCGGTCGTCGTGCAGAACACATAGCCCAAGACCGTGTCGGCAGCCAAATCCGAGAAGGGGCCCAACTCCACCAGGGAAGCCACGCTGTCCAGGTCGAGGCCGGACAGCGGGGGAACCTCCACCGGGGCCGGCTTCGGGGACTGGCCAATGCTACCGGTGGCGGCCAGTCGTGTGGCCCCGTGCGCGAAGAAGAGCAGGATCCCGCCGCGGGCGGCCTGGGGATCGGCCAACACCGCGGCCGGCAGGACAAGCCCAGGCCCGCCATCCGGGGCCGAGGCTAGGTGCGTCTCGGCCAGAGCCTGCAGTGGGCCAGAGTCCCCCGACAGGGGCCACATCTCCTCGGGGACAGCTTCGGCCAGGGACACCTGGGCCAGACCCAGCAACTGGCAGACACCATCCTTGGGGACCATGTCGAGGGGGCAGATCGAGGTGCAGGCCCCCTGCGGGTCCATGAAGGTGCCGGATTTGCAAAGCAGGCAGCGCGACGGCTCGGCACATGTGCGACAGAAGCCGGGACAGGGTCGGCAAGCCCGGGAGCCTGGGTAGGTCAGCCCCCCCCCCCCCCGGGCCGGGGGACACCGCGACAGCGGGTTAGTTGAAGACGGGGCAAGGAGCGAGGAGGGGCGGGGGGAGGGAGCAAAGGGGCCAAAGAGAGAGAGGAGGAAAGGAGCAGAGGAGAGAGAGAGAGGAGCAGAGGAGGAAAAGAGAGAGAGAGAGAGAGGAGCAAAGGAGAGAGAGAGGAGCAGAGGAGGAAAAGAGAGAGAGAGAGGAGCAGAGAAGGAAAAGAGAGAGAGAGGAGCAGAGAAGGAAAAGAGAGAGAGAGAGAGAGAGAGAGAGAGAGAGAGGCAGAAACAGCCAAAAAGGCAAGAAAAACCCACCATCAGCCCAGTCCATGTACGACCCGTCGGAGCAGCCGTCACACAGACGGCCATGCGTGGCAAAGGGAGCCTCCAGACGGCCGGGCTTGCAGGCCCAGCCGCGGGTGGTGCCCGTGCTGGCGCCGTCGACGTCACAGACAATACTGGTGTCGGTGGCACAGCCGAAGGCCTCGGAGTCGAAGAAGACCACGCCATCTATCAGGAGAAACCACTGGCCGCCGGTGGCGATGCTCATGTTCAGGAGCCGGGCCCTCTCCAGGCTGGACTGGGAAACGACAGGAGGGAGCACCACCCGGTGCCAGGTGATGTTGGGGATGTCGCGCATGTCGGCCCGCCAGAGGCCCGTGTCAGCGCCGTGGGTGCTGGCCACCGAGCCGACATAGTACAGGAAGGGCATGGGGTCGGCGATACTGGCGAGATCCGGGTTGATGAAGCGCCCGCCGGCCATGGCCGATTCCGGGATGGAGCCGCTGTAGGAGGGCGATATGTTGGGCGAGGAGGAGGCGATGTTGAAGCAGTTGTACAGGGCAAATTGGCCATTGACCATGAGCAAGATGACATCCCCCCCGGGACAGGTGGCCTGGGGGGAGGTCAGTCGCGTGGCCAGCAGGTGGACCACCGACGTGAAGGTGTCCCACATGCGCGTGCTCGGGGACTGGGAAGCCGGGTAGATGTTGGTGTTACGAATTCGCTGCAGGTAATGCGAGTAGACCGATCGGCCGGGCCCGGGGACGCCCAGCACCGGATCCGGGGCCGGCGAGAGACCGGTCAGGGCATTTTGGCGCAAGGGCAGGTCCCGCTCGATGTTCATCACGGCAAGATCCCGCGTGCCCGAGGGCGGCTTCAGCAGCACCAGGAAGTCGGCCTGCTCCGGCGTCGGCGCGATGACCGCCACAATCTCGGTGTCCGGGTTCGGCAGGGGGTGAATTGTGCTCGAATGGAACAGGGCAATGGACTGGGAATTGCGCTCGATGATGACGGGCAGGTTGTGCTGCGGCACCGGCAGGAAGAGCAGCGGCTGGGCCGAGGCCAGGGGCGCTCGCGGACAAGTGACCACATCGCCCGGCTGTCGGGAGAAGAAATGCCCCCACCGTGCCTCCGGGACCCTGGCCAGGGCATTGGTTTGCCGGTGAATGTGCATGGTATTGGTGGAGTGCCGGACCACCGCCGAGGACACAGACCCGGGCCTGGTGAAATAGCCGATCGGCGTCTCCGGGGCCTTGGCCGAGTTGGGCGCCTGATGGAGGAAGACCTTGGGGTCCTCAGCCTCGTTGGCCGAGGCGATGTGCCGGGCCAGGAGGCCCAGCAGGACCAGGAGAAGCACGCGCGACCATGGGCCGGGAGAGCGCGCGAGTGTGGCAGCCCTGCGACGCATGCCCGCCAGGGTGGCCATCGATGTGAGGAGGGATCCCCCGGCAGGAGGCGCAGCAGAGAGAG